TCAAAGGTTATGAATATTCATGAGTCAAGAGTTTAGTAACTAATAGCCTCCCACACTATTGATCAGGTTATGGATGTATATAAAGTAAAAATAAGAACTGTTTAATACATATTTCCCATCACCATTAAAAGATGTAATGGTTTTAGGATAGGACTTCATGTTGTGTAAATCACCGTGATTGAAGAACATTAACAATGAAAAATCTAAACAAATCATTACACCAAAGACTGTTCACTCATCAATCTTAAATGCTTCTGTACCGTTCAGATTCTCAAAATTATGGATTAAATAACAAGGTGGACGGTTCCCAGTAGTTGAACCCAGTTTTCTCAAATCTATCTTGACTCTGCTGAGTATTACCAATTCAACAAACTTGTCACTATAACTCAAGTTTTCTTGTTATGACTTTGCAAGACTGATTTGATCGGTCAATATCTCCTGGTATACTATCCACTACGACTGACAATATCTGTCTCACTACCTAAAAGGTTGCATCTATCAGTTATTGCTTCTCAATGATACTACGGATATTCTTATCAACATTAGTTAATAGTAACCATATGATTACCGTCTACATAAATTTGGGAATTTTTTCTCACTGTGATGATGGTGATATTGATATAAGGTGTTGAGCTTGGCCTGCTAAATTTACTCCAACTAAAGTTTAATTTAACAATGAATCTGAAAACCGAAATAGCAAAAGCACAAAGTTCACTTTAGTTTTACCAAAACAATACTTATTGTAGGTTATGAAGAAAGTTGAATTTCAAAGTTTACATCATTGACAGATTTTATTGAGACAGTTATTGAAAACCATCATACGCTTGCTGGTGATTAGTTTAGAGTGATATTCCCTAGAGTTCTAGAGAGAAGATATGACTAGTAGAGTTCAATCGTATCGGGCATGAGACAACCAGTATCAATGGCCACGGTCGCAAATACCGAGGATTAATTGAAGCTAGACAAGTAAACCACTGAATGCCGGTCCAGTGGTCTGGAAGTTAAGAGGTTGGTGGGAGACTCAGAGGTCTTTGATTCAATCCTCGGTGGAGTTGCGGCTGTGCACTATTGGGAAGTTCCACACTAGGGCGTAAAAGCTGTCCAGTGCTTTGCGGTTACCCAAGACTGCGTGATGTAAACTACAAAATGATACTTTTGAATGGAGTCATCCCATTCTTTTAATTTACCGATAATTTTTCTAGTCACAGATCTGTATAACATTCATTTACGATAAGTGTGGTGGTTTGTACAATAGTTGTAGAAAGATGAACTGCTTGGATTTATCACTAACATGATATTATTTCTATTCATTTGTTTTCTGACGTACAAAAGGATCGTTGTGTAAATGAAACGCTCTCCTGCCATGGTTTCTTGAAAATTCCGTAGGATAATTTGTTAAAGAAAAATCAATATGCATTAGCGTCATTTTAGTTGCCTTAAGGTGTTAGGGAGAACTAAATTCCAAGTCAAATTTGTGGCCATATTAATCTTACAATTATTCAAAGATCCTATTTGTTCACATTTTACTAATTACGCGTCTTAAGTAGTATTTTGAAAGGACTTCGTTTCTGTTTTGTCTTAACTCAGACACAGAAATCCAAATTGAAATATCAAGAGTGGTGTAAAAAGAAAACTGAAGAAGAGTATAAGAAAATCGATTATATCAGACAAATTGAATTCAAAAAACACATAGCTAATCAAACTCGTAAAGAAGCTTCAACTGTAGCCTATGACCGTTGGTTAAAATCGATTGGTTGTAAGAAATCCGCTTCACACTATTCACATGGATATTCTGATGGAAAACTAATAGGTAGATTTTATTTCACTTGTCATAGATTATTGTCATTTTTTCTCGAAATTACATAGTGACTAATAGTTGTAGATCGGAATCCTCGCTTTATCTGAATCCATTCGGATAGCCGAATGGTATCACAAGTTATCACACAAAAAGATACGATAGGTGGTTACCTGTATTGAATTCAACAATTGTTTTTATCATTTTTATGACATCTTACTTCTATTAGATAACAATGGTACAGAAATTTAGATAACCGAAATGAGATAATATGCACTCAAGTAGTTCGTCTTAAACACCAACTAAATGGGTTTGAGAAAACAAAGCAATTAGCCAGCAAACTGACTATTAATGAGGAATAAAAGCCATCGTTATTTACGCATAATATCCAATTCAAATTAATCAGATAACAAGTGATTGCTGAATAGTCAAAGTAATAAATACGAAACCAATATCCTTTTACATCTACGTTCGACATCTCCCTCAGCAAATACTAAAGGGTCTTTGGGAAGTATGAAATTTTTGATAACTAAAATCGTTTTTTGGCACATTTTTAAAAATCTTTGGTGTTAACATATGACGTATTTTAATTTGAGACTTCTAATCAGTACGATACTGAGTGGAATACTTATCATGTCTTACTATAATTATGTTACAACTCAACCTATAGGTTGGAATTCAATCTATAGCATTCTGCAATCTTATTTTCCAATCTACATAACACAGTAATCAGTCGTCTTCAATCTCAACTTGATTACTTATGAAACATTTCATTCTGACACATTTGTTGGTAATTGGTTCTCTTCATTTCTTTGGTTGACCCCTTCTTTGCGTTGAGATTGAATTTGTGTCGATGTTTATCGATTGTCAGGCTACCAGAAATTCTCTAGCATTCATAGGGTTTCCCTGATCTAAAACTTCGACGTGACGCCGATCGAGCTCACGTCCATAGCTATCCATGAGTAACCCGTTTGTCGTCCCATTGCCGGTCTATTTTCTGAATGCATAGGTGAAGAGAGTGTCCACTTTGTTCAATGTAATATTCTTCTGCAGATTGTACGGTTAATTGTGTAGATAATAATTTATCTTTTACGGTGTTGTATCTCCTTCGGTCTGGGCAATTTGGAATGAGGTGAATGGGTTGATTTGTGGGGGACATTGGCTCTTAAGGGCTTCAGAATCCTTGTGGTGGTTTGAGACATTTTTCACAGACGATCTATTTCTTAGTTTCCAGGATTGATTTTTTGATAGTATACTGACTCGTTAAGGAACTTTCGTTATCTCTGAGGTATCCATTTTTATGAAAGGCAGGGATGAGATTCTTCGAGTAGTCACAGTGCAATAGCAGTTTCAGCTCTTTTAAATATTGTCTGTACACAACTCTGAGCGTCGTGCTGAGTTATTATTGTTGTAGTTAATTATTTGATCAGTAAGGCTTTACTTCTTGCATACTTGTTTTTAAAGCTGCTGTGTTCCTCCTGTTGGTTAGAACATCTGAAAACGAGCTTTTGTTTTGTGATCCCTCTCCTCTTGCAAATTTGATGTCACCGAAGATGTTAATCAACTGATGAATATTTTGGAGTCTACCTCACTTCGGGATAATGGATGAATCATCCACGTAATGTACTAAAGCCTTCGGTTTGATTATTGGTAGAGGTGTAATTAGCCATTATATATATATATATATATATATATATATATATATATATATATATATATATATATATATATATATATATATATATGTTAGCCTGAATGTTAAATTGGAAATATGTTGCAAGAAACAGATCTATGAATTCGACCAAACTTAGGCGCTGTAATGTTGAGTATTCTGTGAGTTATTCCCTGTTATTTTCCTACAATATGCAATGGAAGGATTAACTGACGATCTTAAGTAAATATTTACGGATACATATATAGGGAGTAATCGATCGCTAGCATACAACAGACACTAGATGAAGATATGAATTTGTGAAAGGAAACACTTTGCCTTTATACCCATGTTTTACGTTTTCTTCTTTCTATACTTTAACATAGACTATTACGATCGAACAGCCAATCCCTCTCCAAGTTTTGTGAATCCGAATCCATGGATTAATTCTACAGATTTAACTCTACAGAGCTGATACAAAACAACAGTCCAGCAGTTATACTGGTTAAACTTATCAAAGATCCTATTCACTTTTCAATTAACAAGACTGTATTAATGTTAATTGTTGAGTAGATCACTTTCGATGTTTCACTATTCATGATAAAATTTAAGGGGAGTGTTACCAGTAGATTTTGTCAAAACCAGTTGAGCGCTATGAGAATTTCATGGTTCCTTAATTAAGTAGATGTTACGTTAAATCCTTCACAATCTTTACTCTTAATTACAATTAAATATTGTAGTATGATCACAATGAAGTTGCAGATTTTCGACGTGTTCGAAACCACTAGTTCAGTATATCTCACATATGTTTTCAAGATTTGATTACAATACTTCGGGGATATTTTAACCTTGGATTACTCAGTATGCTGATACATTCTGACAGGATGGTCAGTGATAGGTAGTAGAAAGCTTGAAACATACATTTGTTTAAATCATTACCAGGTATATTCTAGCAAAACTTCCTATTAGTCAAGTAATATGTTCACTTGTAGGATTCTTTTGAGATTTGAATGTATCCATGATAATGTATCTTTGTCATTTGGTACTTAATTGACTTTCTCACACGAATGGTGTGATAGCCAACACTAACAGCACAATTTCCATAAAGTACTTTCTTTTTGACCAACAAGGAAGAACAACGAAACAGGTGGGTAGAACACTTCAAAGAACTCTTGAATCGACCAGCCCCACTGAACCCACCCAATATCGAAGCAGCACGCACGGACCTCCCAATCAATGTTGGCCCACCAACAATTGAAGAGATCAGCATGGCCATCAGACAGATCAAGAATGGCAAAGCAGCAGGATCAGACAACATTCCAACAGAGGCACTGAAAGCAGACGTAGCGGTAACTGCAAGGATACTCCACATTCTCTTCAGCAAGATTTGGGATGAAGAACAAGTATTAAGAGACTGGAAAGAAGGACTTCTGGTCAAAATACCTTAGAAAGGCGATCTCAGCAACTGTGATAACTACAGGGGCATCACTCTTCTCTCAACACCAGGAAAAGTTTTCAACAGGGTGTTGTTAAACAGAATGAATGACTCCGTAGATGCCCAACTTCGAGACCAACAGACAGGATTCCGTAAGGATCGATCGTGTACAGATCAAATCGCAACACTACGGATCATTGTGGAACAATCGATTGGATGGAATTCATCACTCTACATCAACTTCATTGACTACGAGGAAGCATTTGATAGCGTGGACAGGACAACACTACGGCGTACCTGAGAAGATAGTCAATATCATACGGAATTCCTATGATGGATTAAACTGCAAAACTGTGCATGGAAGACAGTTGACAAACTCTTTCGAAGTAAAGACCGGTGTCAGGCAAGGTTGCTTACTCTCACCCTTTCTCTTTCTCCTGGTGATCGACTGGATCATGAAAACGTCAACTTCTGAAGGGAAGCACGGGATACAATGGGCATCTAGGATGCAGTCGGACGATCTAGACTTCGCAGATTATCTGGCTCTTCTATCGCAAAGGCAACAACAAATGAAAGAAAATACGACCAGTGTAGCGTCAGACTCAGCAACAGGTCTCAATATACACAAAGGGAAGAGCAAAATTCTCCGATACAACACGGCATGCACCAATCCAATTACAATTGACGGAGAAGATTTGGAAGATGTAAAAACCTTGACATATTCGGGCAGCATCATTAATGAACACGGTGGATCTGGTGCAGGAGTGAAGGCGCGGATCGGCAAAGCAAGAGCAGCATATTTACAACTGAAGAACACCTGGAACTCGAAACAACTGCCAAGTAAAACCAAGGTCAGGATTTTCAACACAAATGTCAGGACAGTTCTACTGTATGGGGCGGAAACCTGGGGAACTACGAAAGCCATCATCCAGAAGACACAAATGTTTATTATTAATAGCTATCTACGCAAAATACTTCGGATCTGTTGGCCGGACACTATCAGCAACAACCTACTGTGGGAGAGAACGAAGTAGATTCCAGCGGAGGAAGAAATTAGGAAGAAGTGCTGGAAGTGGATAGGAAACACATTGAGGAAAGCACCCGACTGCATCATAAGACAAGCCCTCACATGGAATCCTCAAGGCCAAAGGAGAGGTGGAAGACAAAAGAACACATTACGCCGGGCAATGGAGACAGACATTAGAAAAATGAACAAGAATTGGATGGAACTAGACAAACATGTCCAGGACAGAGTGATTTGGAGAATGCTGGTTGGCGGCCTATGCTCCTTTAGGAGTAACAAGCGTAAGTAAGTACTTTCCTTTTGATTCTCGATTTTTCAGTTTGGGAAAATGATGGATCAGGAGAGTTTGTTGTTAATAATTCAGAAGTTTTGTTTACGATCGTAAGGTAAGGAAGTTAGGTCCGATAGAAAATTACTATCTAAACACTGTAAGCGTTGTATAAAGCTTAGTTCAGTAATGTGATGTTATCATATAAATAATACTTTAGATTATGATAAGGTTTCTACTGTTGATAGAAGTTGCACCTAATATTAGTTGATTTTCTTCCGAAATTCTTAAAACTTTCTGTGTATCATACGGTCGCTATTCAATGTTGCTATTGGTTCTGAACTCTGGTTTTTGTATGGCATGCAAAATTGAGTAAACTGATTAGCCAATAACAGACGTGTTGGAAGTTGATGTCTGTGTAGAATAAATCATACTGAAAGCGAATCGGATTGTTGAAATTAACAGCATCATCAAGAACTTAGTAGACTCACTACTCAGCTGGTTAGATATCCTTAATCACATCGGGAGCATAGGAGGAGAAAGCAGTTAAATTTCCATGTGAGTTATCTCAGTTAAGAAACACAAACGATTAGTGGAAATTGAATTAGATAACGAAACTTCAACTCAGCAGATTAGTGCAGTACCTACACAAACACAGCTATATATCAATCCAAAATGAACTGAAGGAAACTCTCATCAATTATACGCGTTTCCTAAATCCAGCTGAGGTACAAAATACAGGTGATGGGTGGGTTTCCTAAATTTAAATCGAATAAACTTCTTTTGGAACCTACGTTAGTATGTAAACATCAAATGTAACGAGTCTCACTATGACGAATAATTTCATTACGGCTACAACAAAATTTACATTGAAAACAATTTTTCAGAGGTAGTTATTGACCAGGTAGAAAAAAAGTGAGTGGGTAAAGCAAGTCATCCGTCAACAAAATGAAAGAGTCAACTTTTGACTAGCGGGATTGTAATAAATATTGATGCACTACACAATCATATGAGAGTATTCTTATGGAGAAATTTCTTCGGTCGTGTGGGAATCAAGATCAACCATTTCGAAATGAGTTATTATCAGGCTGAAAGAATGACTGGGAAACTAGATTTTCTCTCCATTTAATAACTTACTAATCGGATCCACAGTGAGGAATACGCCTTACTTCAGATTTTAAACTTTTGATATTCATTTGTCTTGATTTCATTAGTATAAAGAATACAATTATCGTTTTATGCTGTTTGTAATGCATAATAGTCAACTAAACAAAGAACTGTGAATGCCAGACATTATTTTGTAGTAGATATGTAAGATCTATTTAGATAAACCTTCATTACAGTAAACGCGAGTGGATTAAAATCTATGATGAAACTAGTTAGAGAAGTCGAATACTACATAAATCATGATGAACAACATGCGTTTATGTACACATGTATGATGTAAATATACTTATGTATAGAACTTAAGTTGAAGTAAGAACAGCGACAAAGTAAATCAGAGTGAAGTATTCAAAAATGAAACCGTAAGTAAAATAAACAAATACATTAAGGAGAGTAATTGATACGAGTTAACACTAAAAAACTGCATGTACTTATAGAAATATTTGTATGTTGAGAAATATTTTTGTAAAGATAAGATTAACCAGGGTTAGTAGTGAAAACAGATCAAAGTGGTGAGGCTGTCACCTCTGGGATGAAGTTTCGCACTCGAACAAAACGACAGGGTGGGAAATGTTGGTTGGTTAGTTCTAACACGGTGGTACTTTCACTTTCACTGGATCTGATTTGGAAAGAAACCATTAGTAATAACAAAGATGTGGTTAGATTTATAATTACGCACACCTCAATAAAGTACAGAAAGATAAACTAATAAAAAGGGTTAACAGCATAGGTAACATGAATACTGTGTTTAGAAAGATAACTATGATTGAGTACCTTACAAAACTAACGATTGTATATCATAATCACAGTATAGCTTATATAGAAATTATATACAGTATACTTATTGTTTGCTGCGTAGTACTAAAAAGAATAGGAATTAGAATTATTTGTTGACTGTTTGAAAACATGGGATTAAGATCATTTGGCATTAAGCATACGAAGTGTCATAATTACGACGGTACGGTACTAGTTTCACTTATTTCTTATCCATTTATTAACCTTGTTTTGTTCCTTAGTAAAAACAATACTCCATAAATCCCACTTTATTATAAAATCCATATATAACTAAAGAAAATAAAGTTGTGCATCCATATCAATTATTTCACGCTTACAAAAATGAAATTACCAAAAAAAAAACAAATTTAACTTGTTAAAGTGAGTTAGGTGAATTTGAAGTTTCATATTCAGTAGCAAATTTAAACTCCACCTGCTCAATTTAATTTGAAAAGTTGAGTATAATTATTAACTCTCTCTCTCTCTCATACACACACAAAGTAACTTAAAGTCAGATACGTGCATCTGCTATTTGGTTAATGGATTGTTAGTATTATTATTAGTCAGTAATCTAGACGCTTTTGGTTCGAGTTCGGTTGCTAATAAGGACTTTATTCAACTTCTTAATAATTATTCTTGAAAAAAATTCAACTAGTTCTTATAGGTTAATATAAGCTAGATAAAAAAACATTACTAGGATCATTTTACTTACTTATCAAAGGTATGGATAACATACGAATCCCACAGGAGCTGATTGTGTAGACAACCTTTTTTGTTACCGATTTTAAATTTCTGCAATCCAAAAATATATGTAACTTAGACAAAAGTATCTATTAAGAATATTGATTAAACAGTTACTGAAAGCTAGACAATACTGCTTACCAGTTTAGTGCTACAGTACATGATTGAATATATCAACGAAAGATTTCATTTGAACATTGCATGAGGATAATTTTATATAAGAACAGATCCTGTGGTTTATGGGAAGTAAACTAGCACCCATTCTTATATACAGTTATTCCACGTTGGCCGTACTATCAAAAAATATCGGTTGATTGAAAAAAGTAATGAGAACTTGAGAGTAATGCCTAAAAAGTTTGGTAACAGTGATACACTGAATAGTAACACATGAAAAATACCATTGACGGATCTATATGCATTAGACGTAAGGGATATTTTTGCCAAGACAAATGTTTACATGGAAGATTTCCCATTGTGTAAAACGAGAGGCTGCGTACTGATATACTCTGAAATTTGTTGAGCAAGTTTACTAAAATAAGGGCGCGTGCAAAAGCACATAGACCAACGTAAATTTTACTTTGAAGACACAATTTGATTTATCTAATTGTGTAAATTCAAATAGTGTGCGATATCGCACAACTAGCATAATATCGATCTATAATCTATGATCTTCTACAACCAGTTTGATGTGTGTTGCCAACTCGTTAAATTTTCTTATATGCTACTTCTGAATTCCTGCGACGAACAGTTTGATATCCAGTTTATTCTGGTTGTATTCCTCGTGTAGAGCGTCAATCAATTTTTATATGTTCGGAGGAGCGGGGTTATAGTAGGTTGTTTAAGGTTAATATGCTACCCCTCTATTAGATCTTTCACGAAGGAACTGTAGACGTTTTGTAGTAACACTTTGGGACCTGTATCGCTGCAATTTTTGCATCTTGTAAATCTTTTGACCCAGATTCAAAATAATTTTAATTGTTGAGATCATCAGTCAACTGAAGCTAGACCACCATGGAAAACTTGGAAGCACTAGATAGCCGTTTCGTCCTATTGTGGAGGTCCTCAGCAGTGCGCATCCACGATCCCGCCTCGCGATCATTCTCGACGTGAAACAGTGACTCTATTAGACTGTCATATGCAGTTAGATCCACAACTTGAACCGATGCATATATGTGCCTGGTCTAACGTTGTAGCTGCCTGACTGACTGAACTTGCTAGTTAAGGAATTTGGATTAGCAACTAAGATAAAGAATATCTAGAGATAATCACTGTAAGAGTGAAGTTAGGTTACATCTACAAATAAGGTCTTTCCCCGACCGAAGCTGCTACCTTGACGCGGTGGTCGGGTTTGTCTATCGTGATGACCCAACCGAGTTATATTGGCTGGAACATATGTTCCTGTAGGTTCTACCATACCAGGCAGGTCGATTGGAGAACGGTAAGGCTAAAAGCAGCAACTCAAGGTCTGAGGGCGAAGTCGTACTGCTGACTGTAGAGGGGTGTGACAGCAGTGTGTGCTGCGTCTCCGAAACGCGCATGCAGTATCCGAGTAGCGTCATTCATTTGACATCACCATGTCAAAACAAAAAACCAACTCGATTCACACTTCGTGTATCTGGAAGCCCAGATGCTGCTTCTCGCGGACTCGCCGGCGTAGGCATAGCATTGAGTCCTAGGGCAGAACTAGCTCTCTTAGACTAGATCCCAGTAGACGATACTCTCATCTACTCCCAGTCCAGACGTTTAGAACGATGGGCGGAACACTTTAGGGAACAGTTCAACTGGCCTTCAGCTACTCTACAACTACCCTCCATTCCCAGACAATGTGAATGGAACATTGAAGTAGGTCCCCCAACTCTAGCAGAAGTTCAAAAGGCTATAGTTAATCTGAAACGAGGAAGGGCAGCTGGTCCAGATGGATTGGCTCCAGAAGTCTTTAAGGATGGTGGTCCAATTTTAGCGATTAGGTTGACTAATATTTTAGCTAAGATCTGGGAGTCAGACGTTATCCCATCTGACTGGTCACAATCACTTATCGTCCCAATATATAAGAAAGGGTCAAAATCATCCTGTGACAACCACAGAGGGAGTAGTTTAACTAATATAGTATCTAAAATACTAGCCTCGATAATTATCAGACGCCTAACTAAGACTCGTGAACTGCAAACACGAGAGAACCAAGCTGGCTTCAGACCTGGTCGTGGCTGCATCGACCACATATTCACCATTCGTCACGTTCTAGAACATAGGCATACTTATCGGCGTCCGACAATGGTGGTCTTTCTTGACTTAAAAGCAGCATTTGACTCTGTAGACCGCGAGATTCTGTGGCAGTCTGTCATTGAAAGGCGTACCACAGAAGTACATAAACCTTATAAAGGCTCTTTACTCGAACGCTACTAGTCGAGTCAAGGCTTATGGCGAACTGTCATCTACTTTTGCAACATCAAGTGGTGTCCGTCAAGGCTGTCCACTTTCTCCATTTTTGTTTAACTTCATCATAGATCTACTGCTGGAAATAACTTTCTCGTTGACTGAGTTCTCGGGCATTGATCTCCATTCAGGTGGTCCACTTATCGACTTAGAATACGCAGATGATATAGTCCTGTTTGGTGAAGACGCTAATAAAATGCAGAGTCTTCTGGTAGCACTAAGCAACAATGCCAGAATGTTTGGAATGCGCTTCTCTCCCTCTAAATGCAAGTTGTTGCTTCAGGACTGGTCTGCGTCAACACCTGAACTAAGAATAGGGAGTGAAGCAGTCGAACGCGTTGACAACTTCACTTATCTTGGAAGTCTGATCAGCCCTAATGGGTTGGTGTCTGACGAAATCTCAGCACGGATTCGAAAAGCTCGTTTGGCTTTTGCCAACTTACGTCACCTGTGGCGAAGGCGAAATATCCGTCTATCAATAAAAGGACGAGTATACTGCGCGGCAGTCCGTCCTGTTTTACTTTACGGCAGCGAAACATGACCACTAAGAGTAGAAGACACTCGTAAGTTATTAGTATTTGACCACAGATGCCTTAGAAATATTGCTGGCATCTGCTGGGATCACCGGGTAAGTAATAGTAAGGTTAGACGCAGGGTATTAGGGAATGATGGTAAATCAGTTGATGAGGTTATGAATCTTCACCGACTGAGATGGTTGAGCCACGTGTTACGTATGCCTGAACACCGACTACCACGACGTGGAATGCTATCCGGTATTGGAGATGGTTGGAAGAAAGTTAGGGGCGGCCAAACCAAAACGTGGCATCAGTGCTTGAAGTCACTAACTTCTAGTCTTAGCCATGTTGGTAGATGCAGACTGCTTGGTTGGGGTCCGCGTGACTTTCGTAACCAATGGTTGGAGACTCTTGGTGACATGGCTCAGAGTCGATCACAATGGCGTCGGTGTATACACTCCCTGTCTTCCCTTAAACTAAGAGATTAAAATCACTTCATATCTTTCTTTCTACGAACCAATTCTTTCTTCTTGTACTATATCTCTATATGCAATCTTTCTCTTATATATTACCACCTTTGACCTAACCACTGCTATGAATCCGGTGTTCATCTCGTTGTGCTGATGCGGTATGGCAACCTGGACCGATGCACATATGTGCCTGGTCCTACGTTGTAGCTGACTGACTGACTACTGGACGTAGGAAAGACGCAGAAATTAAACCTCTTAGGGCTCTACTTAGTGAGAGTCAAGCTAAGAGTATGTTTCAGGAACAACTAGGAAAACAGTTGGGCAGCCATGTATGTGATGCCCACCCCGATGCAGCATGGAATGATATCCAAAAAGCTGTAGAAACAGCAGTGATATCTGCTAGTAAGGTAAACCAGAAGGTTAGGGAGAAACACTGGATCTCAGCAGCATCTACCGCACTGATAGATGCTCGAAAACTCATTCCATCTGGCTCTGAACATAATGAAGAGCGGAGTCAGCTTAAGCGCAAGCTGATAGGAATTCTACGCAATCATCGTGAACAGTGGTGGGTAGCGAAAGCAAGAGAGATGAAAAAGGCAATAGGTAATAGCAGACAATTGTTCAGACTTGTTAATGAAACCGATATTAGGAATCCAACTGTTAGCAAAACAATTTCAGAGAAAGATGGACATATTATACATTCTCAATTCAGGAGATTGGATCGATGGGCAGAACACTTTAGGGATCAATTCAACTGGCCTTCAGCCACACTTCAATTTCCAACGATCTCCAGTCAACCTGAATAGCAAGTTGATTTAGGTCCTCTGTTTCTTTACGAAGTTGAAAAAGCCATAGGAAATCTGAAGCGAGGGAGAGCAGCAGGCCCTGACAGGTTCACTCCTGAGATTTTCAAGGATGGTGGTTCAGTATTAGCAGTGAGATTAACTGAGGTCTTAGGTAGAATTTGGGAACTGGACCTAATCCCATCTGACTGGTCTCAATCACTGATTGTGCCAGTCTATAAGAAAGGACAAAAGTCCTCTTGTGACAATCACAGGGGAATCAGTTTGGCTTATATAGTGTCTAAAATATTAGCTTCAATAATACTTCGACGCCTAACTAAAGCTCGTGAAGTTCAGACTAGAGAAAATCAGTCTGATTTTTGACCTGGACGTGGTTGTATAGACCACATATTCACACAACGTCAGGCTTGTTATAACGTGAAAAATAATGCTGTTGATTAAGGGGTAGCGAATTATTGATCAGACCAGAGACGCACAAACACGTAGAACGACCTAGGGTTCTGATTGGCCTCGCTTCCCAGTCTAGCCCAGCCAGTCGAGTTCAGAACACAAGTTTCAGCCTCGGATTTATGAATCATTATATTTCAAACATACTTTGTTTATATACCAGTCAAGCAGTCCACAACGTACCATAAAATAGAAGATAACATTGTACAATAATGGCCAACAGGAAAATAACACGTTGAATAAATATTGACCAATAAGATGATACCATTTCATGTCCAAGGATAGCATTAGGCTTAACAGGATAATTTTTGGGATATTTCCCTGAATATCCCAACAAGGCTCTAGAACACAGACACACATTCAGACGCCCCACAATGATAGTATTTCTCGACCTTAAGGCAGCATTCGACTCTGTCGATCGTAAGGTTCTACGGCAGTGTTTGTCATTGAAAGGAGTACCAAAGAAGTACATTAACTTTGTAAAGGCTCTCTACTCGAACACAACTGGTCGAGTGAGAGCTTATGGCGAACTGTCATCAGAATTGATTACCTCAAGTGGTGTTCGTCAGGGCTATCCACTCTCTCCATTCTTGTTTAACTTTGTCATTGACGTACTTTTAGAGATAACACTTTCCTCATCTAAATTTACAGGGGTTGAACTTCTACCAGGAGATTCACTTGTTGACTTGGAATATGCTGATGATATAGTTCTATTTGGTGAAGACGCTGACAAAATGCAGAGTCTTCTGACCACTCTAAGCAACAATGTAAGCATGTTCGGCATGCGATTCTCCCCTTCGAAATGCAAAATGTTGCTTCAGGATTGGGTTGCATTGACACCCGAACTAATGATAGGGAGTGAAGTAATTGAGCGTGTCGATCGCTTCACTTATCTTGGAAGTCTCATCAGCCTTTGTGGTCTGGTGTGTGACGAAATCTCAGCACGGATACAGAAGGCTCGACTAGCTTTTGCCAACATGCGTCATTCATGGCGTAGGCGAGATATCCGTCTATCAACCAAAGGACGGGTTTACTGTGCAGCAGTTCGTTCCGTCCTACTTTATGGCAGTGAAACATGGCCGGTAAGAGTAGATGATATTCGTAAGTTACTAGTATTTGATCATAGGTGTCTTCGAAATATTGCTCGTATATCCTGGGACCATGGAGTAAGTAACGGAGTTGTTAGGAAACGGGTACTAGGTAAGGATGGCAAATCGATTGATGACGTAGTGAAACTTCATCAGTTGAGATGGCTGGGACACGTGTTACGTATGCCCAACCATCAACTGCCCCGACATACGATATTTTATGGTGTAGTAGTAGGTTGGAATAAATTTAGGGGCGGCCAGACCAAAACATGGCACAAGTCCATGAAGTCACTGACAAGTGGACTGAGTCATGTTGGTAGATGCAGACTATCTGGTTGGGGACTGCGATATGATAGCAACCGATAGTTAGAGACCCTAAATGACATGGCTCAAAATCGTTTGCAATGGCGCAGGTGCATACACTCTTTGTGTTCTCCCGAATTTTGATCTCCTTATTCCTCCTTGTCTTTTTTTTCTCTTCCCAAACTTATTTCACTGTATTATACTCTTTAAATAACATCTACAAGCACTAATCTTCCCGATTACTACTTATACTCTTATTACCTCCACCAGAACGGGATTTGAATCGGTCACTAAATCTGTGTGCTAATGTGGTGTGGCAAGTCGGAATGATGTACGTACGTACAAAGTTCTACGTTGTTACTGACTGACTGACTGAAGATCTTTCTGTCAAATTAACTGCTTAATTTTAAATTTTTTGCCAATTAGTCGATATAAACGTAAGTTTGGTGTTTTTCAGACTAAACAGTGCCCGATCTAATCTGATTGGTAAATAAGCTGATTGCCTTTTCATCAGTGCAAACAAAACTTTGGAACTTTCTAGTTATTTAACGACTGGGATAAAGGACGTACCTGTTATTGTGAAAAAAATACACTTTGGTTTGTACAAACTAATTAACACACAACTTGAACGCAAATAGTTATTTAGCGGGAAAGACCTGATATCTTCAAAACTTTACACTTTTAACAAGCAGTGATGATAAAACATCGGGTTATTAACTCATTCATTCTCTATCTCTCATCGACACGCCCTCATTCCGCTTATTTTTTTCCACATATGATGATTTGGATTGAACTAGTCTTCAATAAAATGATTAGTATTCAACCAGTCTAGATATACAACTTACAGAAAATAATCATTGTTAATTATATAAATTTTGTACAACGCTAAAATATGAGTGAGAACTTAGTAGCCGAACCAATTAGCTTTCACAATCATTGACTTTTAGGTTTGGATATCAAATATAGGCCTTATCTACTTCGATCTGAACTACATACCATACATCAGGTGGTGACTTAAAACCGAATACACTTTAATTATCTAGTCGTACCGTATAAAAAAATATAAAAAAACAAACCTTAAATAGTGTTTGAATCTCTAACATATACTAAGTAAACCTTCAACTGTATTTTTCTTACAAAAAATAATACACAAACTTACTATTGTGAAAGTAACTGTTAACTGTGGAACAACAGGACCCAAGTGTTGGCGTCTCCTTATTGGGGGTCGATTTTGTTTATCGGAAAATTGATGTAAAGTGCACACAATCTGAAAATAAACAAGCAAGAAGTAACAAAATTAGGGAACGGATACATTAAACGAGCTTATAATGGTTAGTGAAAAAAATGAAAAAGGAGTTTTTTATGTAGTGTGTGCGGTAAAGCTTGGACTTGAGAACAAAATTCAGATATTTAAGGGATATTTTGAAGTAGTATTTTTTGTCTGGAGTTTATCGCAGATTTTTACAAGTCGGAGTATTAAATCAACTTGACCTTGATACGATATATAATCCCAGTTGTTTAGGTACGACTAGTGTGTAGCTCACAACCTACTTGTGTCTATATGAATGCAAAGATGTAACATATTTAATTCAATTTGAAGTGGTTTGGATTATCCCGTTTATATTTTTGACTGAAATTTGATTAGTTTTGGTTTCAGTAGTCAAGTGTATAACGCGATGTAGTTTGAAGCAAATCGTGCTGGGTTTGAGTGCTCGAGTAAACATCAAATCTGGGTTGCAGGTGCAACCAGCTAACGACTCCCAAATAGGACAAAACGCACGTTCTGGATTCCACTACCAGCCACATCCTATCTATTCTGTGTAATTAAACAATAGGTTACCTAAAAACCATTTACTTATTCTGAATATCTTGACAAAGAATGCTAATAAAGATAACAGCTAAACTGATCAATTAGACTATCAATACTCCTAATTCTGTAATTTCTGAGCGCACAGTTATAAAGGTAGGTGTATAAAATAATAAAATTTTGTTAAGTTCAACACGATCGATAACTGCAAATTAAATATGTCCCATGGTTTGGTCTGCTGATTTGTACTTTCAACACTTGTTTAATCGAATTATTTTGAGAAATAAGAGCACCATTGCTTACAAGTTGCAATTGGACATATTATAGGCAATCGAAGTGTCATAAATAGTATTTATATGAGTAGTGATTTCTTGAATAGGTGAGGACGAACTTGACGAGACTAGAAATTACTCTATCAGCATAAACGTGTTTACAGTAGGAATGAAGTGATTTGACGGCTAAAGCATTCGATTTACTATTGATAAGATGTTCGAACCATGCTCCATCAACATTGATTTGGACAGACAATTAGTATCAGTAGTCCTCCTAAAAAACTTGTGGCTTAAAGACGAGGGCATACACGCATGTACTTGGTTAGCAGGTTACACTGACAACGGTAAGCTTTCCATGTATGATAGCGAAGACGGAAACTATGTGATTACGTCCTTCTTTAGGATATTTTCGTTGGATCAGCTGTCACCACCTCACTACAACTCAGAGTTGTCCCACAACAATAGAATAACAGATAACCATTGTTGATTTATCCCGGTAATAAGAATAATGATAGTCAACTTACAGAATCATGATCATACCATTCATACGTTCCCTTCAATAATGTACCAGAAACAGCTGTTTTCATAACTGCTTCGGAGTTGGAATTATTATTGTTATTATTTCCAACTAAACTGACATCCACAGATGATGACAAGGACTGATGTGATTTGCTTAAAACTGCCACAATTGAAGATGGATCTAATGGCGCAGTGAACATGCTGATTTGATTTGATGAAACGTGAAAACGTATACCACGATAATAGACAACTTTAAATACAGGTTTATAAGAAGAGCCTATTTCCGGTTCTCCTGTTCTAACATAGGTTACACGACAAAGATAACATCCTCGGAAAACATAACATTAAAAGAGGAGAAAAGAGACAAAATATCAGATTTTCACTGACATTTAATTGCAGTTTTACTGCAAGAAATACAGTACGGACAAATGTAAAGAAATGTTACAAGGCAAACTATAAAGTGTTTACTATGTATACTATGTGAATCGAATGAAGGCTGGTATCCGGGAGTAATACACTTTATTAGTGCATATGGGACAATTTTTAGATTTAAACTAGCGGAATATTTCATTGATGAAGATTAGTTTAACAGTAGAGTTTGTTTAA